CAACCGGCTGTTTCTCTCGATCTAAAGCCTTGTTAATTACGAGCTCAGCAGACACACCGTGTTCTCCACCACTCTGCACATCAAGCGAGAAATGTTCATTTTGACTCAGCTTGTAGCTCTTTACTGAGTTGCTGCCTATATCTCCGTCTTCTGCTATAGGGAGAAGATATCGTTCTCCCGGTGACATTGATTCCGAGATGTTTAACGAATACGATTGCTCAATGAATTCTGGCGAGTTATCGTTTATATCTAAAACACTGACTTCAATGCGGTGCACAATCATTGGATCGCTTAAAACGGCCTGTATTCTCAGAGGGCATTGTGTCGTAGTCGGACAAAGCTCCTCTCTGTCTATTCTCTCATTTACGAAAAGGTTTCCAGTCCGTAAATTCACATCAAAATATTTCTTACTGTAACTCGAAACAATACGCAGATCCCTGGTTTCTATCTCTTGTACATTCAAATTCAAATCCTTTGCGATATTTCCCACCACGGTGCCTTTGTTCACTTCCTCGGAAATGGAGTAAGATAATTGAGAAGCAGACCAGTCACAAAGACAAAGCAGCGCAACAATATGAATCCAGGCATATTCCACGTTTCCCATTGCTGAACAATAACCACGGAATCCCGCAAATCCAGTTCATGTAAACAGTATATCCGTCATAAACAGCATTCTGCAGCAGCGGCGGCAGCAGCAGTTCTTCTCGCCACGGTACAATCCCAGCGTCTCTCTGAACTGATGACCAATGACTGTTTTAGGTTTTCCGTGCAGGGTGGAGTTTTAGACGTACAGTCATAATTATATCTACGGTCTCGAGCGACACCGTGTGGTATAAAAAAAGACGAGCCAATGTTGATGTGAATAACACTTTCTCCAGTGATTTGCAGTAAATACCTAGGGTATTTTATTTGACTGGTTGGCGCATTGGTTATTTGTTGATGTTATATGGAGTTTCATAGGCATGTTATTATTATTATATCACAACCGTTTTTACTCTGTAATTAAAGGCATTTGCAAAGAACACACATTGTCCTCAACACGTTGTTCAACAAAAACACACAAAAAAGTTTGTCAACATACTGATCCAGAGCGCTCTCAGATTTCTAAGATTGATTTGACTCATTTCAGCACCAAGGAGAGCGCTTTACGTTTATAGAATCAAGCACTGTGCTGCTAAGAGCCAAGACTTTCAAATGATGCTCATTTTAAAGATCTTAAAACATAAAAATATGAGTAGGTTTCCTCTCACATATCCACCTGAAATCGTTGCTATGACATCTGCGGAACTATCACTATTACCTGTACTAATGTCTTGCTGCCTAGTGCATGCGCAAATTTTGCAAAAAAAAAAAAAAAAAAATCACAGTCAATCGGGGCAATTTTAACTGAAGGAATTCCAATAGAAACTTAATAAAACATACCTTTTCTTT